ATACATCTATCAATACGCTGGGGCATTGCTTGAATCTGACCTCTGAAACAAGCAACAGAAATATTTTGACTTTATAAATAATATCTTAAGTATATTTATAGTGTGTCTTTCCAGGACACAGCTCCAAGCACCTCAAGATTTATGTGATATAGAGAGAAGAAAATCATCCTCATGTGGTACATCTGGAAAATAGGTTAAAAAAAAATTAAGTGACAAATCTCTGTAGGATTATCAACTTGAGGACACTTGTCAAGCACTATTCCACAGGAGTCATCTTACTTAATTTTTTTGTCAACAACTTGGTTAAGTGGATTTTATAAATGATTCAAAATATGTCTGAGTGGCTGGCACTAGAAGCAAAAATGGTTTTTAAAAACCATTTAAAAACCAGCGTTTCCTGCTGACAAACAAGGAGGCAGAGATGATGAACGTGCCCAAAGTGATAGGTCCTTCTTCACCAGGGAAGAGGGGTGTATGAAGGTTGAACTCCTTGAGCCCGGCTGCTGTCTAAGAAATTCTATTCATTCAAGGATGCTAGAATTTTGAACTCAGGGGAAAAAGAAGAAAAAGTCTGGGAGATGAAGTCTTGCCTATACTGCATAACTTTGGTTTTACGATGAAACAATGAAAATATATTTTTTAAAGATTTTTTTATTTATTTGTGAGAGAGCGAGCACGAGATGGGGGAGTCAGAGGGAGAAGCAGACTCCCCCGCTGAGCAGGGAGCCTGACGGGATTCAATTCCGGGACTCTGGGATCATGACCTGAGCCGAAGGCAGTGGCTTAACCAACTGAGCCACCCAGGCACCCCAAAACAAAGAAAATCTTAAAGTTGAAATGACCGCTAAAAATCCCCTGGGGTGTCCCAGTTGTTGATTTGCAGCCTCTCAGCTCCAAATTCACTCTTCATGGCTTTGCATGTGGGGCTGGAGCTGGATGCTATGGGTGTCTTTCCTCTGCCAGGTGACCCAATGGGTGCTATGGGAGCAGAGCAGGAGGGGGTGGTTTGTCTTGTGGGTTCTGGTGCTGTCCCTCTCTTCTTGTTCCTGCAGCCCCAAAGGTACCCTGTGGCCCTCACCTCAGTGAGTTCATCAGTACCCTTACAGAGGGTGACTAGAGAGTTCTGCCAGACCCCAGCCAGCTACCTAGAAAGTACAATACCCCCAGGAAGCTTCCTGATGAGTTGGCCAGTGACCCAGCTAGACCCCAGAGGGGGTCGCTCACAGCGAGTTTGATCAGCAGCTCACTGAACTTCTCTGCTAGCCAGAGGGCCATAATCACACTCTTTTCAGTGAGTGAATCTCAGTTTGGCTCTCAAGAAGGCCCTCTTCCAAATTTGTTCCTTCCTTGGGTTGTCTGCCTTGGTCCTAAGTAATAGCTGCGCCTCGTATCTGTTATTTGTATCATCTTGGGGGTTTCTTAACTCCTTATAGTAATGAATTCTCTGTTACTAGTCTGTAACTCTTTATAAAAACTTTCCCCATTCATTACTGTGTGATTTCTGTTTCTTGACTAGACCTTGATGAATATACTCATATCCAACAGAAACATGTGCTTAAAAGTTCACTAGAAGCTATGTACAACAAATTCCATAGTAGCACTATTTATAATAGCCAAAATGCCCATTACCAGCAGAAGAGAGAAATAATTTGTGGTATATTCATGGAAAGAAATGTTGGAGAGCGATGAAAATAAATGAACTACAAATACATGCAACAACACAACACAAACAAACAGAAACAGAATGTTGAGTGAAAGAAGCAGAAACAAAAGAAAATATGCTGTATGATTCCATTTATGGGAAGTCCCAAAACAGGCAAAACAAATTCTGGTGCTAGAAAGAGAAAAGTGGTTATTCCTAGGGGGGATTAGTGATTGGGAGGGGAAACAAGGAGCTTCTGGGATGCTGGTAATGTTCTGTTTCTTGGCCAGGGTCTTGGTTATATAGATCAACGTTTGTGCAAATTAATTGAGCAGTGCATTTTTGATGTTGGCATTTTTGATGTTTAAAAATTAGTTATGCTGAAAATATGTAATATCTAATAAAAATATTTAATAAAATGTACATATTTATTGAATTTATGAGGTACAAATTATTTGACTCAAATAATAAAGCAAAGCTCATTCATTCAACAAAAAAGCATATGTACATAGTATGTATCAATCACTGTATATGATGCTAAGGATCAAGAGATGAATTAGTTATTCTTGGTTTTGTCCACCAAGGGGCATGGCCTACAGGGGAGACAGACATGAATATGACAACTACAATACAACATGCTTCATGGCTTTGTTCAGGTGGTATGGATGGAGTGCTACAGATAGAAGAGGAGCCAGGAATGGTGCATTGAAAGCCTACACACAGAAAGGTGGTGTCTGAGAGGGGACCTTTCCTCTGCACAGTGCAGAAATATCTACTTGCTCCACCATCCTCTACTGCCATAAAAGGATGAGTAGGAGGTGACCAAGGAGAAAGGGGGGTATTCTGAGCAGGCAGAACGGCATGTGCAGAGATGTGAATTTTGAAAGTCATTGTAAACTCAGAAAACAGAGAGTGTTTAATGTGGCAAGAGTCTGGGGTCTGGGTAACACTGGGAAGAATGGCAGGAGATGAAACTACAGAGGTAAACTGAGGCTTGATTGTGACATGCTTGTACATCTTCTACAAGGATAAATTTTACACAAGGTGCCAAGAAGTGCTGTGTGGCTAGTCTTCAGAGATGCCCTCCCGCCCCACACCCAACTGATGCCTTTGTTAGTCCTCTCCCACAGTGAATTTGGTGAGGCCAATGAAACCAATAGAACTTGGTACAAGTGACACTGTGTGATTTCTGAGGCCACTGCGGCTTCTGCTTTGATTTCTTGAAAAACTTGTTCTAGGGGTGTCAGTTATCATATAAGAAGTCCAGCTAGCCTGAGTCCACAGTATTGTGAAGAAGTACAGCCTAAGAGAGACCGTGTGGAGAGGGCTGTTCCTCAGCCCAGTCAAGCTTTCAGGTGACTCCAACCTCACCTGACATCTGACCACAACTGCATCAGAAACTCCAATGGAGAATAGACTTGCTGTGTGTTGAATGTGTATAACATAAAGAACTGTAAGAAAGAATTTTTCTTTTTTGGATCTACACTATATTTTGAATCACTACACTTCAGGGTGGTCTATTATGCAGCTTTAGACAACTGGAACAGACATTTTGGAATAGCAGCGTGACATAGTTTGAGTTTTTGGAAACACAGTCTGGAGACGGCATGGAGGATGGTTTGAGGAAGACAGAGGTTGAAGATACCAAGACATGTTCAGAGGCTTTCACAGGAGGATAAGTGGATAGAGAGGCTGGAATCTAGATATACTTGTGAGGCATACTTGACAGGATGTAGAGATCAAATAACTTGTGGTGGGAAGGAGAGGAAGACTGTGAAAATCTTTCAGGTTTCTGCCCAAAAAGAATAGGTGGTAGATAATGTCCTTAATAGAAATTAGGGCCTATCGGGGCACCTGGGTGGCTCAGTTGGTTGAGCGTCTTCCTTGGGCTCAGGTCATGATCCCAGGGTCCTGGGATCGATCCCCTCGTTGGGCTCCCAGGTCAGCGGGGAGTCTGCTTCTCCCTCTCTGTCTGCCCCAACCCCTGCTCGTGCTTTCTCTCTCAAATAAATAAATAAAATCTAAAAAAAAAAAAAAAGAAAGAAATAAGAGCCTATATGGAAGGGTAGATGAGCTGCGTATATGCTTAAGCTGAAGGGTTTACAGGATATATTGCTGAAGAAGTCAAATAAGCTGTTGGAAAGTTTTATTTAAGGCACACAGGAAATTGGGGTTGTACATGTACATTTATACACACATAGGTTCACAGTTACATATAATGATGGTTGAAGTTACAGAGATGAGATCACCAATAGGAAGGGTTTAGGGCAGTAAGAAGAGGGACAAATAATGGAAATTTGGTAGACTTGGGGCAGAGGTACAAAAGCCCGCAAACAAAACTGAAAAAAAAAAAAAAAGTCAGAGAGGTAGAAAGAGAAACAGGAGACTCATGTCTTATAAGCAGATGGAAAGAGAATGTCAAGAAGATGGAGCTTTCATTGTCAAAAGCCACTGCAAGATCAAGTAAGGTGAGCACGTGGCATAAGGTTTTGACCATTAAGAGGTCATTAGGAGTCTGAATGAGACTGCTTTCCATAATTGGGCTTTGATCAGAGTAAAAAGCAAAGACTATGAATTTAGATTGCTCTTTAAAGATACTTGGTGGCCAAATGAAAAACTAAAGTAAGTTTGTTTGAGCAGGATCATAGGCTATGAGGAGGGAAGAGACTAAGGACAGGTTGGCTGGCACAAAGTCCCCGAACCAGTAGGAGGGGTGGGATAGAGAGGTCTCTCGAGTCATCTGTTTTATAGGCATCTGCTCTTCAAAGTGTGGTCCACAGACCAGTAGCATCAGCGTCACGGGAGAACATGCCAGAAACGCCAAATCTCAGGACACACCACAGTTCTAGTGAATCATAACCTGCATTTAAACAAGATCCACAGAACCAGGTAAGATAGGCATTACTGTTTCTATCTTTACCTAGGATGAGACTCAGGCTCAAAGAAGTTGACTGACATAGTGGAGCTGATTAGGGATTGAGCCAAGATTCTAGTCTAATGTTCTTTTCAAGAGGTAGACAAGCGAGTTCACAGGGATTTCTACTTTCACTCAATTCAGGAGAATTGTTTCAGATGATAACACCTCCGACAATCCATCAGGTCTGTAGTTCTAGTGCCGTCAGCTGTGAGTTTGGTGTTACGGCGAGGGACGAATTCCTTTCTGAGCCCTCGGCGGCCTCGCAAGAGACCACGTTGACAGCATTGGAACTTCACTTCCCAGCAAGCCCAGCGGCCTCCTTCCGCGCTAGGCATGACGGGCACCTCGGCCCACGCTCCTCTCTAGCGGAAGAACCTTGAGGCGGGACGCCACACAGCCTGACGTGAGGGCGCGCAGCATCCTGGGATGTGTAGTCCAGCTGGGACCGGGACGCCCCCTCGGATGAATGGGGCCCAGGCTGGCTGCGAACTACAGCTCCTCGGCCGGCTACGTTGGTGGCGGCCGCGGGGGAAGGGGAGCCGGCGGCGGCGCCGAAGGAGAGCAGCGTTGCGGCACTGTGGGGATGTTCTGTGCGGCGGCGGACGCAGCAGCCCGGCTTCCTGGGGTGGCGGTATAAGCGGGCGCCTCATCTACGCGCTCGCTCTCCTCTCACCGCTCCGGCCATGCGCCCGGCCTTCGCGGTGGGCCTGGTGTTCGCAGGCTGCTGCAGTAATGTGATCTTCCTAGAGCTCCTGGCCCGGTGAGTGACCTTCGCGGGCCGGACCCCCCTCGCAGCGCGCGGGGGCGGGGGCGGGACGGCCTGGGACCCGGCGGAGGCGGTTGCTCCGTGGTGCTGCGCGCTGGCCGCTATCCTGCCCACCAGTTTGTCCGCATCCTCGGAGGGGAGCGCCGGGGGTGCTGCTGTCCTCACCCGCTCTCCACACCCTGGGGGATGGAAGGCTGCAGAGTTTTTCTCGTGACGGGTCCGAGGTCGGCAGGGAGCTCGTGGCAGAACCCAGGGCTCCTCCAGCTCTTTTCGCGATCCTGTTAATGCCACACGTTTGACTTGAGCAAAGCTCTTTGACGTCTAACGCAGTCTGATTTTGTACTCGCAGCAGTGAGTTTCATTAAGGTGGCCCCTAACGCATTTGTTTTATTGGCCTTAGAGATGGTTATGAGTGCTTGACCCAAACATACATCCCGATGATGTAGTCGAATGGATTCTTAACTTATTCACAAGGCCCGTCCACTTGACCAGAGAGAATTCCAGCTTTTGAGATATTGCAGTCTCTGGGTTGAGAAACATGCATTTCGAGGCGTAACTTTATAAATTAAGAATGATTATGACACTTTCCCAAAGGGAAGCTGGGTTAGCTTTGTTGAGGTGGCACTCAGAGTTGAGTAATGTGCAAAGTTCAGTGGAGCTGTTGTTATAGAAACACAACAGGTAGACGAGAAAAGGCTCAGGACTGAATCTCAAGTCTTGGTTGGGTCCTCCTTTAGCTGAATCTGCACATCTCCCCTGGCCATCAGAACAGTCTTGTGTTCCGAATAGGTCAGGAGGTATAATCTCTTTTACTGAAAGTGAAACAGGTCCCAAGAAGTTAGGTGGTCTTTTACTACTTGTAGGTGGCAGGGCCAGAACTAGAATCCAAGATACCTACACCCTAGTCCAGTACCTTTTGCAACCTCCCTGTTATTTTTGAACTTGAGCAGCCCACAGAATTTTGGTCAGTGCTTCACCTGGAGCCTACTACAAGTGTATTTATTTTGTTTTCATGATACCATTGATTAGTCATTCTGAAGCAATCAGTTTACTTAAGGTGTGGGTTAGTTTTTGCTATTACAGAGCTTGAAATCTTACGCAGGAAGTGTTGATAAAGATCTGCCACTTATTTGGGGCATAGTTGGAGAGAGGTTTAAAAATAAAAAAAATTAAAAATGTATCCGCTTGTCAGTCTGGTACACTTCAAAGGAAGGTCATTTGGGAAATTGATTTAAAAATATTTAAAAAGTGAGAAAATCAGGCCAGCCATGGAAATGAAGGTCACAGAATAATATATTATGAATATATATATAACTATAATACTTGCTTTGAATATGCCATTAAATTAAATCCTGCCAAAGGCTGTATGACGTCATAATATGCTAGCACCTGAAGGCCCTCGTTACTAAGTGTGAGCTCTTGGCTAAATTACTTGATCTCCTGAGTCTGTTCTTTGAATTGTGAAAGGCCAGTGGTGGCTCTCCCAGCCTCACAGGGTTTCGAAGGGTTCATGAAGTGCACGTGCAAAGCACCTGAAGCATACTGACTTTTTTTTTTTTTTAAGATTTTTAATTTATTTATTTGGCGCAGAGAGACAGCAAGAGAGGGAACGCAAGCGGGGTGGGGGGAGGGAGCGGGAGAGGGAGAAGTAGGACCCTGCCGAGCAGTGAGCTGGACACGGGGCTCTATCCCAGGACCCAGGTGCCCCAAACTGACTTCCTCTTGTCTCTAACAACTTCGGTTTCAGTAAGGGTAAACCTTGTTTTATAAGCTACTCCTGAAAAGTTGTGGATAAATCTAACTTTACAGAATGTTTTGGTGGTTTATAGGAGCTTCTATTTAGAACGCTTAGAAGAATTTATATATAAACCTTCCTCATTTATCTTTTTTGTAAATCTGACTTTTTGGATACAGCAATGGGTTTTCATAAAGCGGTGAGGGGTACATTTATATATTCAGTGAGTGGTGTACATCAGACTGAATAGCAGCTTTTTCCTGATTGGCTTGGGCAGCTCACAACTTACTCTGTTAAAGATCAATAAAATAAGAGCAGGTTGGACCAGATGGTCTTTAAGGTCCTTTGTAGATTGGGCCTCATAATTTTTTACTTTATCTTGGGACATCTCAGTGGAAAGCTCATAAATTTTTATAGAGCAGGAACTGTGCTCTTATATGGCTTCCTTGGAACCATTATGTGCCCTAGTAAGTGCCAAGTAGAACACTAAGTATAAATGGAAATGCTAGAGTGACTTATAGGGAGAAGGAAACATTTTTCTCCATTTTCCCCAAATTGGAAAACAAATCTAGTTTTTTTCTTTTTGATTTTTATATCTATAATTGGGATCTATAATAAAAAGCACCACGCAGTGTACAAAACAGACATGAAGTCATGAATGGATGCCTTGATCTCCCTCCTGAAAGAGCTTAGAAACAGGATGCACACACATCACAATCTGAAACATTTTCTTTTTCCTATCTTATTTTACAATCAAGTGCATCATTTTGACTCAAGTAGGAAGTTTCCTAAATCTGAAAGAAGAAATATGAAAGGCATAAACTTCTTTCTCTTCAAAGTTGCTTGTCTTTGAAGTAAAAATTTGAATGCTTGCCAAAGAGAATTCAAAGTAAGAGAAACTTTGCAGTTGGTGATTATAATTTCTAAGGAGTAAAGTTCAAGAAAACAGGTGATTTAGGGAAAAGGATCCAAGTTTTTACATTGAAGTTTTAAAAATGAATTACTAAAGTTAAAACAGATAGTTCCATTGATAGCCATACAACAGTATGTTTCCCGAAAAGCTAAGTTGATTTTTTTAAAAAATTTAATTATGTGAGTACATTAGGGATATTTTAAAATACTGTGGAAATAGACATAAAGTAGAATAGGGTTGTCAACTTGTTTGTCTGGTAGAACCCTATCTTGATTATGTTGGCGATTACATAACCCTAAGCATTTGTCAAGGCTCTTAGTACTGTATACCCCCCCCAAAAAATGAATTGTACTGAATGTAAATTTAAAAATAAAAATACATATAATGACCAAAAAAAAAAAAAAATAGGGTTGTCAAGGGATGGGGGAGGGGGCAATGGAGAGGGACCCTAATGGGTATGAGATTTCTTTGGGAGGTATCCTAAAATGGTAATGGCCGCACAACTCCATAGTAAAAAACACTGAATTGTAAACAGTAATATAATGGAGTCTGCAAACATCACTTATTTGCCCTGTGGCCCTGTGAGACTTCCCCGAGTCAGTGCCATGTGGCCCTCAGTGTCTTCAGCAATGAAATGGGCATAATTACAACTACCTCTGTAAAATAAAGGTAAAATTTATTATGCCTTTTAAAAAAATCGTGGGAGGTATACACTTGTAAAGTGAGTCAGTTTTAGAAATAAATGATTTTTTTATCTTTCATACAATATTTTAGGTCACCCTCACATTCATTCAGCCGCTTGAGTGAAGGCCAGATACTGGGCCCAGAGAGCGGGGCATGAAGATGAATTGGACACCGTTGGTCCTCACCTTCCCTGTGTGGCACTGGGTTCTTATCTGTTTCATACTCTCATGTTTGCCTCATTCATTACATTGTCATCTCCTTAAGGGCTCAGGTCTCCGTCACATTGGGAGCTCCCTAGCACCTAACTTTACATGTGGTATGTTCTCCTCAATTGTTCTTTAATTGAATTGGCCTCATCTTTTGGTAAAGAAAAAAATGGGTGGGAAGCAGGGAAGCTTGATGAACCCCATTTGGGCTAAGTCTTGTGTTGGCAATTTACATTTTCTCATGGAATCCTCATTACAAAATTAAAGATCTATCACTTGCACTTTATAGGTGAGAAAAATTGGTCAAGATAAATGTCTTTATTTAATTGAAGACCTTCCAGGGTGCAAGATCCTAATGTTAGTCTTTGCCTTTTTCCCTCTGTGGCACACTATTAAGTGCTTTTCAGGGACTGGCTTGTTTATTCTACCATAAACCAGTGAGATAGGCATTAATACTGTTCGCATTTTAAAGATAAGGAAACAAGACTTAGGGTAATTAACTTCCACTCTAGAGAACTGGATCCTGCCTGTCATTGTGTAATTTTAACCACCTTGGGTGGTTCTCAGCCCTGTGATAGCATATGGGAATCACCTGCACATCTTACGTAGGTGCATACACACAGTCCCACACACATCTTCCAGCACTTTCCCCAGACCTACACTAGTGGTTTTCAGCTCTGGCTGCACCTCAGAATTAAGCAGAGAGCTTTGAAAAGTACAGGTTCCAGGGCCCTACCCCACAGCAGTCTGAGCAGAACTGGGGGGGGGGGGGGGGGGAGGGTGCTCCTCAGGCACGTGGGTTTCTTTTTTTTCTTTTTAAAGATTTTATTTATTTATTTATTTTGACAGAGAGATAGAACAAGTAGGCAGAGAGGCAGGCTCCCCGCCGAGCAGGGAGCCCGATGCGGGGCTCGATCCCAGGACTCTGGGATCATGACCCGAGCTGAAGGCAGCCGCTTAACCGACTGAGCCACCCAGGCGCCCCCAGGCACGTGGGTTTCTAAAGAGCAGCCTGGGGCGCCTGTGTGGCTCAGTCGGTTAAGCGTCTGCCTTCGGCTCAGGTCATGATCCCGGGGTCCTGGGATCGAGCCCCGCATCGGGCTCCCTGCTCGGCGGGAAGCCTGCTTCTCCCTCTCCCACTTCCCCTGCTTGTGTTCCCTCTCTCGCTGTGTCTCTCTCTGTCAAATAAATAAATAAAAATCTTAAAAAAAAATAAATAAATGAAGAGCAGCCTAACCAGAGCTGAAAAGCACTGTGCCAGGAACTAGGTAGAGCTAAAGTACCTTCTCCTGTCACTCATAATTAGGCTAATGGTTTTAATTAGCTCTTTGAATGAGGTCAGTGTCTTACGTGATTGTTTATGGCTTCTTGCAATGTTTACCCTGTATCCCCTGAACATAAATGCTAAAAGAAATGGTTGAATATAAAGCAGTAGTTTTCAAGAACACCCTCATAGAGCCTAAAGAGTAGCCGCAGTTGTTGTAGATGGTAAGCATAGCTCCACACAAGAGTGGCTTATGTTCAGGGTTATCTATTTTATGCCTGATGGGTGTATTTAAGAACCTGTATACTTGACATTGCTATTTAATAATAATATCACCAGTAGAGTGGGCGCCTGGGTGGCTCAGTTGGTTAAGTGACTGCCTTCGGCTCAGGTCGTGATCCCGGAGTCCTGGGATCGAGCCCCGCATCGGGCTCCTGGCTCAGCGGGGAGCCTGCTTCTCCTTCTGACCCTCTCCCTTCTCATGCTGTTTCTCTCGCTCGCTCGCTCTCAAATAAATAAAATCTTTAAAAAAAAAAAAAAACACCAGTAGAGAACGAGGTTGTTTTTATAAATAACATTATATTAGATGTAATAGTACATTTATAATACAGTAATCATCTCATCACTAGCCTCTGGTAAATAAATGTCCTTGATAAGATGAGAAAACGGAATATGAAGCCTGAGAAACCTGGAAGCTTCAGGGAAACAGAGACAACTGGTCACTTTGTACTTCCAGTGACTGAGCAGAAGCTGATGGAGGACAAACTCCAAACCACAAACATTTTAAGTAACCGGCTTTTCGCAGAGTGTCTCAAGAGTGAGGTCAGAAGGACTTTTTCTGCCTTGTAAATATGTTCCTAACAGATACTGTGGAAGACTCTTCAGCCCTTACGTGGATCACTGAAGAGGTTCGATTCAATTCCACCGTTTGTGGAGTACCTAATATACTTGTGTTCAGGGCTGTGGGGAACAGTAGATGATAGTAGTGTTCTTCAGCCTTTTCTCCTTATCTCTCCTTACCCCTGCCAAAGACCCTTTGTCTGTAGACATTTTTTTCTAATCACCCCCCCAGAGATACGATATATACTGGTTCATGTGCTGTATTTATATATACTTGATACTTCAAAAAAGAATGCTTGATACTTCAAAAAAAGAGTATGAATCTCCCCACCCCAAGAACCAATCATTGCCCCCAGGGGGACTTTCTCTAAGGTGATGTCCCAGTCACCAACAATGGGTGCATGTCTTCTGTTGACAGTAGTCTTGGTGGTTCCTGGTCAGGAGGCTATGTAAACATTCCAGGAGACCTGAGCATATTTCTGTGCTTGGGCTTTGCTGCTGAGGCTGACTAGGATTCTGACTAAAGCCAATTCGATGAAGTGAGTATCCCAAGTACATACGACCAATTTCCCACAGTTTACTAGAAAAGTTGTATGGTAGTTCTGAGAATGAGTGTTAGCACAATTCTTACTCATGGCCTGTTACACCTAGGGAAGAGTGAAATAAGCAAGCTTGACATTCTTCTCTGTGAGCTCTATTGATAGATGTGTGTGATCCATGGGATATGAAATCTGAGATAAAGGACAGTGGGTAATAGAAATCGGTCCTCCCTGTTACTTGAAACTATCAATATAACAAGTCTTGGTGCCCTTTATCTCAACTTTTTGTACATTATTTGCCTCTTTGTTTTTTACTACACAGGAAGCATCCAGGATGCGGGAACATTGTGACATTTGCACAATTTTTATTTATTGCTGTGGAAGGCTTCCTCTTTGAAGCTGATTTGGGAAGGAAGCGGCCAGCTATCCCAATAAGGTATGGCACATTGAAGTCTCTTTTAGCCTTTGTTTTTTTTTTAAAGACGTTCAGGACTTTTCTGGTAACTAGATAGGGTATGAGATATCCTTTTATAAGATCTGTGTCAAAGATATTAGTAGAATAATAATGGTAATTCATTTTCTGAATTTAATATATTGTGAGACTCCAGGGAGCCTGTTTTTAGAATAAAATTCCCACTGCAATACAAAATAATTATGACGGAGACTACAATGTGTGTATGTGTGTAATATATGGTTGGTAAAAGGCTTAGTGTGACCACAATGTTTTTTAATAGTTTTGTATGCTAGCCTCATGTTGGTAAAGTTATGAAATACACTAAGAGTGGTATTACTGGTCCTTTTTAAAAATGAATGGGCTTGGGGAATAAACAGAAGTGGTGCTTATTCAGCCTCGTGATATACTAAATGCCATTGAATTGTTCACTTTAAAACGGTTGATTTTATGTTACGTGCATTTCCTCTCAATTAAAAGGAAGTGAATGGCAAGCTAAGGCAAAATTGTTGATTCCAGACCTCCACCCATTAGTCCAGATTTGCATAACTGTACTCAGGGGGCCAAATAGAAAACAAGACAGTTCTTCTAATAAACAGTGTATTGAAAATTCTACATTCTTGCTGAGAGGGACTGGAAATAAAAGTGTAATGCATCCAGTTGTGAGTGTGTAGAGATCAGGACACGTAATCCTGTTGATAGGGATTTTCCTGGTGTGAATATATCCAAGGACCGGTTAAGACCAACCACGGTGGTTGGTGTTCTTTTACAACATTTCCGAGTAGCCTCCTATAGAAAATGTGGTTGAATTTTGTTATTAATATTGTGCTTTTGAATTTCCCAACGTGATGCTAAGTATTCTGGGTAGTTTGTTTCTTCATTGGCTTTAATATTTACATAAAACTTTCCATTCTCTAGACCAGCATTTACATCATGGTAGGAGCCCCCACATTTTTTTTAAAAATCACTCTATTGTTTATCCTATTTTCAAATTTTTATTTAAAGTTTAGTTAACATACAGTGCAATATTGGTTTCAGGAGTAGATTCAATGATTCATCACTTATATGAGACACCCAGTACTCATCGCAAGTGCCCTCCTTAATGCCCATGACCCATCTACCCATCCCCTACCAACCTCCCTCCATCACCCCTCAGTTCTCTACTGTTAAGAGTCTCCTATGGTTTGTTTCCCTCTCTCCTTTTTCCCCCCTTTCCCATATGTTCATCTGTTTTGTTTCTTAAATCCCATATATGAGTGAGATCATATGGTATTTATATTTCTTTGACTGACTTATTTCACTTAGTATAATACACTAGCTCCATCCATGTGGTTGCACATGGTAAGATTTCTTTTTTTTTTTAATGGCTGAGTAATATTCCCTTGTATATATATGCCACATCTTCTTTATTCATTCATAAGTTGATGGACATTTGGGCTTTCTCCATAGTTTCGCTATTGTTGATAATGCTGCTGTAAACATCAGGGTGCATGTACCCCTTCAAATCTGTATTTTTTAATCCTTTGGGTAGATACCTTTAGTGCAATTGCTGGATAGTAGGGTAGTTCTATTTTTGAGTTTTTGAGGAACCTCCATACTGTTCTCCAGAGTAGCTACACCAGTTTGCATTTCCACCAACAATGCAAGAGGCTTCCCTTTCTCCACATCCTCACCAAAACCTGTTCTTCTTGCATTAATTTTAGCCATTCTGACAGGTGTGAGATGGTGTCTCATCGTGGTTTTGATTGGTATTTTCCTGATGAGTGATGTTGTGTCTGTTAGCCATCTGGATGTCTTCTTTAGAAAAGTGTCTATTCATGTCTTCTGCCCATTTCTTAAGAATATTTGGGTTTTTTTGTGCATTGAGTTTGATAAGTTCTTTATAGATTTGGGATACTAAGCCTTTATCAGATATGTCACTTGCAAATATCTTCTCCCATTCTGTAGGCTGCCTTTTAGTTTTGTTGAATGTTTCCTTTGCTGTGTGGAAGGTTTTTATCTTGATGAAGTCCCAATATCTCATTTTTGCTTTTGTTGAAGTTGCTGTGGCCAAGGTCAGAGAGGTTGCTGCCTGTGTTCTCCTCTAGATTTTGATGGCTTCCTGTGTCACATTTAGGTCTTGCATCCACTTTGAATTTATTTTTGTGTATGGTGTAAGAAAGTGGTCCAGTTTCATTCTTCTGCATGATGCTGTCCAGTTTTCCCAACACCATTTGTTGAAGAGACTGTCTTTTTTCCATTGGATATTTTTTCCTGCTTTGTTGCATATTAGTTGACCATACAGTTGTGGGTCCATTTCTGGGTTCTCTATTCTGTTCCGTTAATCTGTGTGCCCCAAATAGCCCAAGCAATCCTGAAAAAGAGAAACAAAACTGGAGGCATCACAATTCCAGATTTCAAGCTATATTACAAAACTGTGGTCATCAAGACAGTATGGTGAGAACAAGGATCCCCCACATTTTTTATTCCTCTGACTCTCCGCGCCCCCCCCACCCCCCGCCATTATCTCTTTCCATTCAGGCTGCCACTAGCAGTTCAGGAATGCATTCACTCTCGCCATTAACTTTTTTAATGGTGTCCTAGCTGGCTGGCCTCTTGCCTCCCACCCCTCCGTCCCTGTATTTCCACTTCCTACCATTGTATTGTGACACCCCCCTCACAGGCACTCAGGTGTCACCAGTAGGTTCAGAGGGAAGCCCAGCTCCCTAACCTGGCCTTTGAGGCTCCCCAGGATCTTGCCCTAACAATCGTACCTCCATGTGTGCCCTATAAAACTGGCTGTTTTATTTTCTGTCTGTGAAGCTGCAGTCAAAATCTTGACATCATGGGGATACCATTCATCCCCAGGAGCAATTTTTAGGCCATGCTGTGTAGACAGCAATGTGGAATACTTGGAATTCATTATCTTTCTGAAAGGCCTTGATGAACTCTGTCTCCAAATGGCATTGTTTCAAGATAAGACTAAGAAAATTTGGCAAGAAATCTTGTGAAGTCACCAATAGTATTTTAGAAACTGTGAAATAGCTGTTCTCAGTGTTAAAAAAAAAATTCAGCTTAGTAAATTTGAAGATCTAATTGGTTTTATTAAATGATTCATAAATCAGGCAGTATTTCATCTAGCAAGAAGAGGGGAGCTCCATTGAGCTAAAGAAGGGAAAGGCTTTTAAAGGCAGAGGGCATTAAAAAAAGCAGAAAGGAATTTATTAGCAAGATATGCATTGTTTAGGCGAGGTTGCCTCAAAAGGAGAGCAAAGGGGGGTCTATCAGAAAATTCCCTAGTATTGACCAGGGAATTCTATGTTGACTGGATAAAGGTGACATTCCAGGGAGGGGGGATTGGTTGAAATTGCACTTGGGTAAGGAATTAAGTCTTGGTTTACTGACCTGGGTCCTTAACCTTAGTGGCACCATTTTGGGCTAGTGGTTTTCTTTTGAGCAATTACCCCTTTTTGATCAGACTCTCAGCTTAACTGAGAGATGTGATAAACATTTAAGGCCTTAGCACCACTCTGTTACTGCTCTAAGTTTTTGTTGTTCCTTTGTGTGGTATCCATAGTCATGACCTTTTTGCTTAACCTCTGATATTCATAGGTCACAGTCTCAGATTCACACTCCTTTAAGTGGGTTATTTTCTTTGTTCCTTAGATGTTCCATGTATCTCAAGCTTTTGAAAGAATACAATGCACTAGGGAGATTATTATCATTACATAAGTAGGATAAATCCCAATATTTGGAGTGCAGTTTAGAGCCATGGTCCCCAAGACCCAAACCAATCAAAATCAAATAAGCCAAAGAAAGACGCTGTGGAAGGAGTCACCTTCTTAAGCCAAGCGACTTGTTCTTTGATCTTACCTGAGTTTCAGCGTCGACAAGGGTCAGGTACAGGCTCAGCAGGTGGTGTTGACCCCACAGACACCACCTTTGTCAGCCAATAGTTAAGAGGTGTTCCATTACCAAGGACAACTTTGGCTAGAGAGTTTAAGGGTATTTGTTGGGCTGCTATTGCTTTAACAGGTTTTGCAGTAATTTTAAGAATTAAGGAGCAGTTCTTGAGCCTAGCCTCATTTACATTTATCCCTAATCAGGGAAATAGAGACCTGTCAGAAGGAGTGAATTGTGAATCATGAATGTCTTCCAGTAGGCCCTTTAAAAAAAAAAAAAAAATTATTGGACACCTGGGTGGCTCAGTCGGTTGAGCGACTGCCTTTTGCTCAGGTCATGATCCTGGAGTCCTGGGATCAAGCCCCACATTGGGCTCCCTGCTCAGCAGGGAGCCTGCTTCTTCCTCTGACCCTCTCCCCTCTCATGCTGTTTCTCACTCTCTCTCTCTTAAAGAAATAAATAAAAATCTTTAAAAAAAAAAAATTATTTATTTTAGGAGATTTGCAGAGGAAGAGGGATAGAGAGAATCTCAAGCAAACTCCCCACTGAGTGTGGAGCCTGATGTGGGACTCAATCTCAGAACCTGAGATCATGACCTGAGCTGAAATCAAGAGTTCAACTTGGCTCAACTGACTGAGCCACCCAGGCGCCCCTGGTAGGCCCTTTTTAACTCACCAACATAAATTTAGGGGAGTCGACCAATGAGATGTCTTATTTTGTCTGTGAAAAGTTAGGAGCACAGTTAGATTTTTTTCTGTCCTGAAATAAAAAGTTGTTTAAATTTCAGAGGTTGCCCTGTTACAAGGACATTAGGATGACAAAAGTCTGGCAGTGAGGGGCTATTTTTGCAGAAACAGAATGGACTTTATCCACATGTGCCACAGTCTTACAAATGTAAAGGCTTAGTGTTATTTTTTTTGACAGTTGCTTTCCATGTAATTTACATATCAGATAAGCCTAATTCATTTAACAAGTCCTTTGGAAAAGTTTAGGTCAAAAAGACTTCACTTAGAATTTGGTTTTAGGAAGTTAGTCAAAAATATTTTTTTAAAAGATGTTATTTATTTGAGAGAGAGATCATGCTTGAAGAGAGAGGACAAGCA